TAAAGATTTTCAATACTTAATTCGAGCACTTTATCAAATAATATACCGATTATACTTAAGACGATTAAGCCACTTAGTTATTAATAGTCGAATTCTCAATTAATAACGTAATGAACGCCTTTACTTAAATGTCTTTATTTTTCGCTAATACTAGTTTCTATTTTCGCGTTAGCTTCGGACCTTTTCGACCTTTCGAACTTACTTTTATACTTGCAATTTAAGCAAGAAACAAAGCAAGTATAGCTTTCGTAAATAAAATAAAATAAATCTTCGCTTTTTTTAAGATTAACTTTATTTCGGCTTAAGCAACTTAAAAATTCGCAGCTAATAAAATTAAATCTTTAGCTTTTGCTTACCGAGTTAAAAATAAAGTTTTCTTTAACTCTCGCAACATTAAGACCGATAGACTTATTAAAAAGTTCGATTATAAATTCTTTAGCCGTTACAAGATCAAAAAGGTATTAAGCTCTTATATTTATCGCTTAGACTTACTTTTCGAACACGACAAGTTGAACGATAGTTTTCATACTAACCTTTTTCGCTTCGCTTTTACCGACTTTTTGCTAAGCTAATAAAACCTTTTCTTTCTTTTTATTGCTATCGATGCAAATAATGAAAAGCTATAAGCGGTTAAAGCTATTGTCGACTTTAAAAGAACAAAAGCAAAAGGTTTCTAATACTTGATTTTATAAAGAAGATATAATCTAGAAGATAAGACTTAAGAACTTTTTTTTTACGTAATCAACGCACGGTCTTTTATTTTAAAGTTCGAAAAACGCTTTTTTAAAAAGCTAAAACCTATTAAAGCAGAACTTACTGCTGCTCGAAAGGAAGCTTAATTGTTTGATTAATTTTAACGAAAAGGATGCTCGAAGAAAAGGAATAAAGAGGACTATATGTAAAGGGAGGAAACAAACAATTTAGCTAAGGAATGCTAAGGCTGAGGAACGCACGGACCTTCACAATAGACTTATCTCCTCTTGTACCTTAGTATCTCTTCCATTCTTCGTACACAATTTAGACCTTATTCAAAGACCTTGCTCTCGTACCGTGACACTAATATAAAAGCACTTAAAAAGATGTGCTATATAAAAGCTTAGCTTTAAGGCTAGACTTTATAGTCTTTACAAAGAAGTGCAAAAAAGATAAGTGGAAAGCTCGTTGATTATTCTAGCTAAGAGATGTGTGCTCTCTTATAGAAGATAGGTCCGTCTAGTATAGCCTTAGTGGCCATAGCAGGTACCCCATCAGGCAGGGTGTTTACACTATCGTTATTAAAAAGGTTGACTTCGATTATAGCGTTATAAAAGGATAGAATCGACATTGCTATATAAAAAAAATAATTAGCTTAAAGCAAAAGAACAAAAAGCAAAAAATTAAAATAATAAAATAATTACTTAAGTTGTGATAAACTACTTAAGTTGTGATAAACCGTAATTGTTATAATTGAGAAGCTAAAGTTGAGTATTGAGTTTAAAAAGTTAGATGGAATATAATTATATTATAATAATAAAAAAGAAAAGAAAGAAGAAAGAGGCGAGTGATTATATAAAAATAAAACTATCGCTTAATAATAACCGATGCTGCTTTGCTTCGAATTAATAAAAGTGAATATTTAAAACAGGAACTCGACGCGAAACAAAAAAAATAGCGCGTCGCTTAATGATAATCGATGCAATGGTTCGATTCAATAAAAGTAAATTTTAATATTTAAAACACGAACTCGACGCGGAACAAAGAAAATAGCGCGTCGCTTAATGATAATCGATGCAATGCTTCGATTCAATAAAAGTGAATTATAATATTTGAAACACGATCTCGACGCGAAGCAAAAAAAGAACGCTTCGCGTAATCGCGTGATCGTAATCGATGCAAGGCTTCGATTCAACAAAGGTAAATAATTATAATATTTGAAACACGAACTCGAACCGAAATAAAGAAAATAGCGCTTCGCTATATAATATAATTAGTAAATATGATTAATAAATATAATTAATAAATATAACTAATAAACGTGATTAGTAAATCTGATTAATGAATGTGATTAGTAAATGTGATTAATAAATATAATTAGTAAATGTAATTATTAAATATAATTAATATTGCTGGTATCAATCTGATGATAGTACCAGGTCACGAGGAAGCTTTGCTGATGTTGTGGTTGATTGACTTGTATTATCTAGGACTAGGAATTGGGGGCGAGGTTGTAGTAGGAGCGTGCCAAGGCTGAGGTCCGTGCGTGCACGTGTATGTGCACGTGCACCATGCTCTCACCTTACACCTTACCTAGCAACAATTAATAAATGTAATTAATAAATGTGATTAGTAAACTTGATTACTAATTATGCATATGCATATTTTTATATATATAAACCTTACCAGGGCAAAGGACCAAGTTCTTTGTACTATCACCAACGGGCTAATTACTCTATTTCTAAAAATCTTTATGTATTTAAGTAAAGTATAAATTAAATAATAATAAAAACTAAATAAATATAAATGTATTTAATTTAAAAAGTCATTTATTTAATAGTTTACTAATTACTTATATATTAATAATTTATTATAAAAAAGAAATCCGTTTAATCTTTCCTTTTTATTAGAGAAACTCTAGACCTATTTGCGAATTGCTTATTTTTGATCATTGATGATTTAATATAAGGAGGGGGACCTTCTTAAACTCTCCTTTTTACTAAGAAAATCTTATACCCTTTTGCGAATTACTTATATTTAATAATTTATTATAAGAGGGAGACCCCCTTATACCCCCCTTTTCATTAAAGAAATCTTAAAACCTTTTGCGAATTACTTATATTTTAATAATTTATTATGAAAGAGGGCCCTTTTTAAATCCCCCCTTTTACTAGAAAAACTCTAGACCCCTTTGCGAATTACTAATATTTAATAATTTAATATAAAAAGGAGACCCTTTTAAATCATCTTTTTTAATAAAGAAATCTTAAACCCTTTAGCGAATCACTTATATTTAAGGCCGCGACGTGCGTTACGTAAAGCAGCGACGTGCGTTACGTGTAGTAGCCTTACGTAAGTAACGTATGGCAGCGACGTGCGTTACGTATATAGCGTTACGTAAGTTACGTATAGCAGCGACGTGC